ACGGTCACTGGGCACAGTTGTCTCCTGGGTGGCAGGGGGGGTGGGTAAGACGTGCCTGGGGTGGGGGGTTGGACGGCATCATGTAAAAAGCACGAAAGATGTTGATGGGCGCACACAATCAGTTGTGTTTCCCTCCTCTCCCTCACCTATTTTGCTCAAAAATTAATTTTAAAAAGTTGTTTTTTAAAGTTAGGGTTTTTTTTGTCGTTTGCTTGCTCTTGTATTCTTGGTCAAACCCGCCCCCTCTCCACGCCCCCACCACCTGAAGATGTGAAACCCGCCACAGCACAGGGCCCAGGTAGCAGGTGGGGGAGGCTGGCTCCGTCCTTCCTACCGTACGCGTTTGTCTTTTTCTTTCAGATTTGTCCTCGGGCCCAGTTGTTCTCCTAAGACAGCGGTTCTCAACCTGTGGGTCGCGACCCCTTTGGCGGTCGAACGACCCTTTCACAGGGGTCGCCTAAGACCATCCTGCATATCAGATATTTACATTACGATTCATAACAGTAGCAACATTACAGTTATGAAGTAGCAACGAAAATAATTTTATGGTTGGGTCACAACATGAGGAACTGTATCTAAAGGGCCAGAAGGTTGAGAACCACTGTCCTAAGAGCAGTAAATGAACAGCTCCTGTCCCCTGGAGGCCAAAGCCTGAGCAGGAGCCGTGCGCCAGCACAAGGGGGCGCCCACAGTGCAGGGAGCAATGGGAGACCGGCCTAGGACCATGTCCAAGAGGTGGGCAGTGCGTGCTTCCTGGACAGCTGGCAGCCCATGGCCTGGCCCAGCGATGCTCTCTTTGCCACTGGGGACCCAGGTTGCCAGGTATGGGGACCACTGGTGTATTGTTCCAGAAGCCAGGGCCTCCACCTCCCAGCCGCCTGAACAAATGTTGATCGAGTGCAAACACCAACGTTTCCCTGCAGGTTGAGGATGCTCGCTCAGAGGGTTCTGGGCTGTAGGCTCCTCTGTGACTGGTACCGAGGCCTGGATGGTGACTGACAAGATGTTGGCTGAAGCAATAAAACAGAAGCTCTCCTGCCAGGAAACTGCCTCACACTGTCCCCACCCAGAGGGGAAGGCCCGGTCCTGGCTCCTCACAGGCTTGTTCCTGCCCTGGCCTCTGGCACGCCCTGTCCTGGCACGAGGGACACACCCTGCTTCTGTCTGCTCAGTCTGATGGCACACATATGGCTGCACATTAGCATCACCTGGGAGCAGAGACACTGCTGCCCGGGCCCCAGCCCAAACAATGAAATCAGAATCTCTGGAGGTGGGGCCTGGGGAGCCCAGACTCCCCAAATGATCCTAATGTACAGCCAGCATTGGGCCACTAGATCATTCCTAGCCACCTAGGGGACCCAGCTGAAGTCCCATTCCTCCAGGAAGCCTTCCTGGACTTACCCCACACAGGTGACCCTCCTCCTCTGAGCTCCTGGGGGCCATATGAGGAGCAGGCCCTGGGCACTGAGGGCAGCCTGCTCTGTGTTAGATGGTAGACAGGAAGCAGACTCCAGGCTCTGCTCCTCGATCGCTGTATATCCCAGGTCACGTTACCAAACCTCTCTGAGACTCAGATTCCTCATCTGCAAAATGGGCATTAATAATACCTGCCTCACAGGCTGGCATAAGATGCTTCCACTGACCCATACCTACCACACGTTCCTCCACTTCCAAGACCACAGGCTCCCACAAGCCCAGAGTAAGCCAGCTCCCAGGGATCTCCAACCCTGCGTCCACCCACTTTCTCCTCCATCCTGTGTGCTGGGAGCAGCTCCTTGTCAAGACACATCACTCCTCACACTTCCTTCCAGGAACACTCCTGAGCCTCCAAGTGTGACCTTGCAGGGACCATGAGAAAGCCAAAGGGCAGAAAACCATCCTGCAGGGCCCTTCCCCGCCCACGAGAGGAGCTCCCTCCGTAGGACCCATTCTAGCAGCCAGGCAGAGCCTGCCCTAGCTAGGGGCTGGCAGGGGCATAGGTAGACACCTGTGCAGAGCTCCTGCTGTTCCGAAAGCACTCCTACAGGCACGTGGTCCGTGGGAGGAGGGCTTTCCTCCCCTCGGCCAGGTGACCTGCCCAAGGTCACAGTAAGTTCTAGGGCTACAGTTGAGACTATCAAGAAATTGGAAACAACAGAAAGGCCCAAAAACAGAGAAATGGTTAAATTCCTTAGAGTCCATCATATTGTGGAACACTATGCAAATATTCAAGTCATGTCTTCAAATAACTCTAATAGCAAAAGGTTCATAATGGTTTAATGGAAAAGGCAGGCCATAGAGCTAGAACTCTACTTTGTGATAGAGATGTATTTATTGGCAAATAGACAAATATAGATTTTATATATATATATGGTGTCCCAAGAACTATATACACACTTTGAATCGTTATTCATTCCAACGGCTCTTTTCAGATTTAACCCATTGGAATTAATAATGATTCAAAGTCTATATACATTGGGGGAGGGGGGTGATACCTGTATTTGCAATGATATCAAAAAAAATCTCTAAGTTGCTCCTGGCCCTCCCTCAGGAGGTCAGTCCCCGCCTCCAAGCCCCGCCCTCCCCAGGCCCCACGTGCCCGTGCTGACCAGCAGTCTGTTCTGGGCCCGTCTGTGAACGCCATTTTAGTGAAAAATGACACCGAGGGGAAGAATCAGTACTGCCAGAAGGCGGTGTTTATAAAGTTTTTATTTTCCATTTTCTTAAAAATAACATTTGATTTCCTTTATGCATGTGGGGTGTACTGGTTTCCTTAGGCTGAGTAATAGGCAGATAAGACAACACGAGGCGGGGTCCCCACGGGAGGCGGGGCTCGGTGTGTGAGGTGGGGCCACAGGGGAAGGAGGGGTGGGGTGACCCATGGGTCGCTGAGTGCCCATTAATGCACACACACGGTCTAACACTTTGTTTTTCGATTTTTTTAAAGACATCTAAAATTACTGAGAGATACGATTTCAGCACTTAAATATACAGACGGAAATCCAAGCACTTGAACACAATTCTTAACTCTAAGCTCAGTTATTGCACATGACACAGTTGAAGTAGCTTCAGGCTATAAAGCAGTTTGCTCCGCTTGGGACTTCCTCGGGGTGTCTGAGTCCCCTTTCGCACCCTTAGTGGCTCTTCCCTGTGACCCCTGCCGGCCCCCAGCCTCACGATGATGCCAGGTGTTGGCGGATTGGCCATTCACTCTCCCCAAGGGCTGAGGGGGAGGCTTTGGTGAATGTTGATCCCATGGACCCACCCACTCAGAGGTGAACTGGAAGCAGATGGAGCTTGTGAAAGGCCGAGTGGGTGGCCTGCCCTCTAAACTGGACAGGCTGGCATGAGGAAAGGGGGTGACCACTGACCCCATATGGCCACAGCCGCAGGGGACAGTAGGGGGCGCTCATGATACCCATCACACTCTCATCGACCTCACCCCCCTTCCTCCCTCTCCCTCCTGAGCTCCACGCCACGCCACCTCCCCGTCACCCGTGGGCCCTGAGTGGCCCCTCAAGGCACATTTGTTCTCTCCAACCCCAACCTACCCTCTCAGCCTTGCCCCTCCCCCCAGCACCCATGGCATGGGAGGTCTTGGGCAGCTCCAGGGCCCAAGAAACTCTTCTTTTTAAATTTTGGTTGAGATCTTTTCAACACAGTCCTGATTCCACTGCCTGCGTCAGCCCGGGGAGCGGGGAGGATGGAGGGGGCGCGGGAGGGGCCAGGTGGTGGCCGCGTGGGCCCGGGCATGAATCCAAGGAGCTGAGGAGGCCCCCGCAGCCTGCTCACAGACACCGCAGCTTGCCCGATGAGATGTCACCTGAGGCCTGCAGCCCCTGGGAACAAGCTGCTTTGTCAGCTTTGGGGGGCTGGGTCTCAGAGCGTGGGGTGAAGAGCAGTGTGGGGGCTGCAGAGACAGGGCAAGGCCTTTTGCTTTCTTTCTACAACATATTTACAAGGTCATAAAAACGTGCACAACCGGAAGACCCAGAGACACAGAGAGCATAGGCCCCCACCGGAGAGAGGAGGGTCACAGAGGGGAAGGGCACCCCTTCCTCCCTGCCTTCCACCCCAGAACCCCCAGATCCTCCACAACCACCCTGGGGGACACCTCAGAGGGAAGAGACAGACAGACCTCGATCCTAGCGGGAGCACAAGTTCAAGTAGCTCCGAGTGAGAAGCGGCTGCTCAGAGAGCAGAGGGCTGCCGGGAAAGACATTTCCCTGCACTGAGCTGAGCTGGGGGCCAGGGGAGGAGGTGGCAGACAGGGAGGGGCGGTGGGAGGCGGGACGTGGGGGTGTGGGACCCAACGACACGACACCCTGACAGGACTGTGCTGCAGCGTGAGAGGCGGTGGGTGGGGCTCACTGGAGTCTCACTATTTCCCCAACAGAAGACTGGAAGGTGCGGGGTCCCGGGTGGAGCAAGGGGCAGGCGGGCTGAGGTTCTTCCAGCAAGTCCAGCGGGCGCAGCGGATGCAGGAGCCGCGGAGCAACCCCCCGGCCTGCCACCCACCCAGCACCCAAGGTGCCCCTCCTCACAGCCCGGGCCCCAAGGGGTGGCCCCTCGTCTCACACAAAGTGCCTGGACGTGCACACACACACGTGCATACACACACGCATACACACATACATATACCACACATGCACACACATACACACATGCATACATAGCACAGTCACACACATACATATACACACACATAAACACACATAGCACACACACACATACACGCTCACACTGCCCTCACCACACACTGAACAGCATCAGAGGCCCGGTCTGGGTAAGAAATGCTTCGCCAATGGTGTTAGGGGTTCGCTTCAGCAGGGAGAACTGGGCAGGTTGACGGGGAGCACAACACCGTCTCTTCCACCCTGGCTCCCTCCTGGTGGAGAGATTTGGGGGAATGCGAGGCGTGGCCTCAGTGCCTGGCTGGTCCGTCCCTCCCCCCTGGATTCAGAGAGTGGAGAGGCCCCCCTCCCCAGAGCAGCCGTGGGGGCCCTCAGAGGGGACACAGGAAGCCGCGGGGGCTGCGAGGGGAGGGGCAGGAAATGGCCCAGGCACAGGAGCGTCTCCCCCTGAGGGAGATGGGAAAAGGCCGTGGTCTCAGGCAGGAAGGTTGCCGTTTCACTGCTCCCCTCGCAGGGGCTCTGGGTCAGCCTTCCTACTGGTCTGTGGGGAGGGGAGCATTACTGAGGGGTCAGGCTCCTCACCGCTGCCCGATCCTCAGGCTCCCAGAGTGGACCAGGGGGCCCCAGCCAGGGGGACGGGAGCAGGTGCCCCCCACGTGGCCAGGCAGAGCTCACTATGTCACCACCCACGGCTCTAAGGGAATGGCCCTCACCCCGGAGCCACAGAAAGAGGCTGGGGTGTCTGTGCCCCTAAGAGCTCTGCCTGGATTTGCAGCGGCTGCTCTCCCTGCAGGCCACCCACTCCGCTCCACGCCCCGCCCAGCTCCGCACAGGGGGGGGCCTGCTGTGCTGGGG